TAGAAACCACTGTATATCAGAAATTACAGTAATCCCAAATCAAATTCTCAACTTTTTTTAAAATCAGAATCTACATAACCAATAGATGCACTAATCTTGTTCTGAAGCACCAATCTACTAAACTTTTTTCCGTATACTTTTTTAGCAATCTTACCAGATTTAACAAGATTGAAAAACAACATAATAAGGCAGCCTAAGAAACAAGCAGATTAATTCATAAACAAAACAAAAGAGTGAGAGAAGGCGGCACCATAGGTTTATCGTAGAAAGGAAAGCCGTTCATTTTCGTAATAGCATTACTAGCAGAGGAGACATTCTCAAAAACAACCCATGCCTGGCCCTTGTGCTTCAGCGTCTTGAAGGCCAACACCTCCAGTATCTTCCCAAACTGCGAGAACACAGCGTGCATAGATTTCTTCAATTCTGGACAAATGTTTTCATCAAAAAAATTCAGGCCACAAAAAACATACAAAAACCAAATTGAGAAATGGGGGAGTATTATGAAAAAAATGTACCGTCGATTTTGATTTTCTCGTTGAGATTGTTTATGTAGATTGTCATGTTAGCGGTGATTTCAGGTTCAGGATTGGGCTCCGCCATTTCCATGATTGACGATGCTGGCTAGTGCGTTCGATTTCAGAAAAGACGCCAACGAGTGGAAGTGAGGAAGTTCAGAGGGAAGAGAACTAATTTGGGGTTTGGGTAAAGCCCTAATTTTTTGTGGGAATTTTGAAAATTTGCAGAAATGGGCTTAAATTTTATTTTATTTTGGTTTTCGCCCCAAAATTGGCCGATTACTAGGTTTTAAAGAGACATGGCCCAATTGTCAGCTGCCAACGTTAATTAAATTAAATTAAATTAAATTAAAAATAAATATTTATTGACATATGGTTCTTATATTTTCTTTTTCTTATTTTTAAAGTGAGAAAATAGAAATATATTGTTTCCTAAAATAATAAAGAGCATAAGTTTGTTATTATATAGTTAAAATATAAAGAAAATATTGGTTAGAATTATATGAAAATTTGTTAATATATAGTTGAAACAAAAATAGATTCATCATATATTAAAAAATATATATATATATATTACTTGCATTATAAGCATAAGCGAACTGAAGAGTGAAATATGCATAAGGGATGTCTAAAATTATTTAATGAAATAAAGATTAAAATCAAAAGTATATTATCTATTGTTAGTGCGAATAAAAAAATAATTTTTATATAAAATTAAAGATGAAACTGAAAGCATACGTTAAAATAAATAAAAGAGGTCGCCCCTATAAACATAGGCGAGTTGGTCTGACTTGAGGTAGACGACTATTTATTCAAGTTAGGTTTCAAATTTGGGGAATGATGGAGGGCATACAAGCTAATATGGGCTAGTCGGTTAGGGTTTCAGTGTTTTTAGTTTTGGTTTATAAGTTTCTTTTATTGTCTAGTTTGAAAAAAAAAATGAGTTTATAAAGATAATAGACCGATATGAA